ATTCTAAATATAAAAAGGGAAAAAAAATCACCAGATTTGTTCTTGGTTACCTGGTCCTATAAGTTTCTTACCTCTCTAGGAGAAATATGGATAATCTTGACCAAATTGCATAGATCCTGTCAGCAAATACTTGTCAGTTCTGACGAAAAGTCTATTATTACTATGTCTTTGGTTTTTCAAATTATGCTTATTGAAGTAAACTGTTCATACATCATTGTATCTGCTTTGGGGTTTATATGTTTGAACCTCAACAAATGGATATTTTTACATCCTGCCCATTACCTTTTCGGTCAAGAAGCCTATGAGCCCTTTTCTCTGGGCCTTGGCTGGGCCTGAATAGCCCATTCTTAGCCAAGACTAAGAACTTCGCCTGCTAAGTCAATTTAGTGAGGATCCCTAATCCTTGATAGCTGATTTTCTTCAAGATCCCATCAAATTCCTATTTGCCCACCCAGGAAATGATTATCCTGACCTGCCTTCATAAGGATCCAGTTAAGTGTGTTTAATAGGAGCTCCCTGATCTTCTCTTAGTAACATCCTACCTTGTGAATTTCCTCACTTTGCTCTTCAACTGTAAGTTCCCATTTCATCCTGCTTACAGAAGTAAAATCAGTTCTACACTTTTCCCTGAAGAAAATCTGTTCTTTAACAACTGTCAAGCCTGGTCCCCTTCACACTTCCCTCACTTTTCTATAACATCCCTGGTACTTGCAACAATTTCAAGTTTTTGAAGTTCTCGAAACTAATTACAAGTCACCTTCCTTTTGGCGATTAAATTATGCCATTAAGAAACTGTCCCTAACTGTCATAAATGTTTTAAGTTTGGGGATCACTGATTTGTATGATAACATTGTAACATCTCTCAGTTGAAAATATTTTTCAAAACTTCTGAGCTGTCCAATACCATCCTCTTATTGAAAAGTATATTCTGAGTAGTTTTTTGCCATTGCCAGATTTAACTTCATGAAGTGACAGAATAAGAAGCCCTCAATGTTGAAGCAGGCAAAAAACTAAACTGTATCCACGAAACTTGCATGATGGACTTTATAGCAGGCAGAAAATGAATGGTCTCAATATACAAGGCTCTGTAGCTCCTTTTACATCAGATGCTAGAAAATCTGCTGCCTCCACATTTTCTACTCCTTTTCTTCAGCATAATGTGAGATAGAGGGTCAGGGGACACACTTGTGGCCTCTAATGGCCAGATAATGGACCACAATAAAAGTTATGTGTCCCCAGCTGAAGGTGAAGACATATAATGGTTGACAAGGTCCATTATCTAACTATTAGAACCTAAAGCAAAAGGAGACAGTTATTAAGTCAAAGAAAAAATATTTTCACTTATTCAAGAAAAAATTATTTTTGCTTACGTATTGTGCATTTTTCTACAAATATCGTTATCATTAAAGTATAACAGCAACAACTGCAGCTATTGTTTATTGAGCATTCACAATATTCTCATTGGCTAGGTAGAGACATCATCTATGGACCCAGACACCCCAATTTCAAACCTTGTTTCCACATTTACTGGAGAACATTAATGCTTTCATATCTCCATTTTTGGAAATGTAGTATGATATTAACACATGTATCATATGAACACAAAGTTTGGCATATAGTAAATATCTAATAAATGCTAAGTATACCAGTGTGGTTGCTATAATGGCTTTGTTGACATTAATAGATTGTAGGCATAGCCTTAGATCTTTTACTAGCCTTATTTGATAAGAAGGTATAGAGGTAAAGTAAAATGTTTAAGTAGAGGTTGTTTATAGCTTCTAAAGGATTCATTGGGCCCTTGAAAGAAACTGGAAAACATTTAGTTTCTGTGCATTTTGTTGCTGAGAATACTGATGGTTTAGCATCTTGGTAACCATTCCTAAGACATCAGTAAGTATGTATTTTAGCCATTTCCTTTGGCCTTTTGTGACTCTTGGAATTTGTGTTGATATTACCATGAACATATTGAAATTCCTTTTTATGTACTTGAACAAGGATCTATTTCCAACCTACCCCTGCTCTTTCCACTTTGTATAGAACTCTTGTCTGAGAGAGTCAGTCCCTGTTCAATTAATGTGGGGCTGTTGCTACTAAAACACTTAAAAGTAGATGTGGTGCTTTACAATGTTGCATATGATTAGAGATACAGAATCGTATCCTCAAATATGTTACCATACCACACCCACCACCAAGGCACCCAAAGTCCTCCACCATAATTCACTGCTTCCATACCCCACTGTCCTCTTCACCCAACTACTCTCTGATAGCCTCAGTTTCACAGTCATATTTTCAAGGCTTATTATTGGTATGGTTGTATATAATACTTTGTTTTATTTCTTTATATTCTGCTTATAAGTGACCCCATACGGTATATTTCTTTCTCCTGGCTTACTTTGCTTAGCATGATAGCCTCCAGTTCTATCCAGGTTGTTTTAGAAGTCAAGGGTTGGCCTTTTTTCATAGCTGAGTATCATTCCATTGTGTATATATACCATACCTTCCTGATCCTCCCATCTAAGTGTCTTTCGGCACTTAGGTTGTCCATTAACTTGGCTGTTGTAATTAGTACTGCAGTCAACATAGGAGTGCAACACCTTTTCAAATTAGTGGATTTTGCATTCTTTGGGTAAAACCTGGGAATGAAATTGTGAGGTCATATGATAGATCTATGTTTAATATTTTGAGAAATGACCATATTATTTTCCATAAGGACCACACCAGTTCATATCCCTATCTATAGTGTGCATGATTTCCTTTGTCTTCACTTCCTCTTCAACACTCATTGGTAAAATGGGGATGTATATCACACTTATCTCATAGGATTGCTGTCTGAGGACTAAACTTGTTAGCATAAAGTAATGTAACAGTGCCTGGAATATAAGAACTATAAATATTAACTATTACTATGTGATTATTATGTAATCCATTTCTTAGAGTTTATGAAGAAAATATCAGAGTACCAATCCTATTTTTTACCTGCTGCATCATCTTAAAGTTAAACAGATCATTAACTCTCTCAGTTCATTTTTTTTTTTTTACATATGTGAAGAAGTAATCCCCAAACCCATAAAGGTATATGAGATCAGGAGTGGTCTAGTGCTTTGTAAATTGTTGGATCGTAGATTTTTTTTTACATTGAGTCAATTTGATATTGATTCAATTCTCTCTGTAAAAGTTGCTGCTTATAAAGCATGTTATGATTAATTCTTAGAAACTAGAGAAGAAAAATGCTTAATAAAGAACCTAGAAGGATTATTAAAACTTACATGTGGTATACTATATAAGAAGAAAAGGTGGCAAGTAGATTTTTCTGAGATTTTCTAGTTAATCTTAGTTAAGACTCTTTAACTTTAAGATAACCTATATTTTACTTCCCTTCTTATGGCTTTTGATAAACTAGAATTTTGGTTCAAGAAAGACCTGACCTCACTACTGACTCCACATTTGGAGAATCTAAGGGGAGGTTATTTCACATTAATGGATTTTTACGTGGACACATTACCTTTTCAAAGCTCTGTACTCTTTTTGATAGGTTTTAAATACTTTAAATCAAATTTTTATCATTCACATTTTGAAGTATTATAACAGATGACTGTCACCTTGACGAGTCTTATATTTTATCTTTATATGCCAGGAATTAAAGATTCAAAGAATCAATAATGTGTGAACATATGCTTGCTCAAGCCTTTTCTATTTCTGTCACTTGTCATAATGAACTGGAAATGCTTTCATAACCTCGCTGAATAAACTCACTGTGTGCAGGGCTTCTGGGGCCGCTAGAAAGACATCTGGTTGTTTATGCCAGATGTCTACTCTGATGGTGCCTCTGTTGTCCTCAGGCCTCTCAGTTTTCTATTGCTGCACAACAAGCCATCCTAACACCTGGTCCTGTACTATTTCTCACTCTTCTATGGGTGACTTCTGCTGACCACTGGGCTTACTCATAAGGTTGCGTCAGCTGACAGGTGCAGTGTGCTGGGGCTGAGCACCGTTGGATGGCTGGATGATGTCCCCCCTCTCTGTGTGGCCGTTCATTCCCACCCAGATTGTCCACCTGATGGTCTCCAGGCAAAGTTTCAGAAGAGCAAAGTGGAAGCCATAGTGGCATTGGGTCCTGAATTCATGTCGTTTCCACCTTATTTTTTTAGTCAAAATGTGTCACAAGGAAGGTCAGACAAGATGATAAGCATTGGGAAAACAGAATGTACCTCTGTAACCTACCAAAATAGCTGGGTGTTTATTGTCTTTTCCAAGTGCTGTGTCAGAATGTTGACAGAAACTGAGCTTCCATAGGTGGTATCAGAATAAGCCAGAAACAAGAATCAATAAAGCCCCAACTCAGAGGCAGCACCCATGCACTCTTTTAGGGTCAAAACATGTTGTTTGCTCAGCATGTAGTAAGCAGGGAGCTAGCTCTCTACTATGTGCTTGTGCTATGCCAAGTTTCTTATATTACACCAAGAATTTACCAAGATAGTTAATCCTCATTCTCAGTTTAGCTGTGCCTTCTGGGAAAATGTCAAAGTTTCAGGAGCTTATAGAAATCACCCTCAATATCCTCAGTGCTGAGCAATATCAAGCAAAAATGATGCTATGTCTGGATGAGAATTTTTCAGGTGTGTTAAGACATGACTCCTACATGCAAATTTATACTTTACTCAACAACAAAATAGTCCTCACCTAGCAATAAATAACAATGTACTTTTCAATTATTTGATACACATTTAATGAATGTTTCCTTTTTCCTACTCTGTTGGGCACAGAGTGAATGCAAAAATAAATTTGCCTGGAAATAAGTGATTTTTTTTATTTATGCATACAGTACTGGGGTACAAGCCAGAGGTGCAGGGGCGGTGAGAGGATTCACCAGAGATAGAGTGGGGAGCAGAACAGGTAGATCCATGAAGTACACTGCTGATGGGCCAGGAAAGGTCTGCGGCGCCATGTGGTCATCTCCATGTGGCCATGTGGTCATCTCCGGGGCAGGTACTGAACTCATGCTGAAGTGGCTTTAGCTTCTTAGTGCTGTGCTTTAACCTGCTACGCCACCAAAGAGGGCCAGAATTTGTGATTTAAAGTGCAGTGAGGAGAAACACAATGTAAAATATTTTTTAAAAAATTAATGTGAGTAAAACATTAATGGAAACAAAGAAGAAATTAATATTATAAGTACTTTGAAATAAAGTTAAATATAATATACAGGAGATGTATATCTGGGAATGGAGAATCAGAATTTCCTTCAAAGAAATAAATGGGACATTAGTTAAATCCTAGGAAGTGGGCAAATGGTTTTTTGGGTGACCAGTGAGGTCCAGGAAAATGAAGCAGTACACACAAAAGGTTATAGAACATGGAAACCCTGGGAAAGACCGGACCTTCTATTCCTTCACTGTGGCTGAAACCCTTTCTGGGCGAGGTGGAGGAGCAAAAAGAAACGTTGAGCAATGAGTACAAAGGACCTGGAACTCAAGCATGCAGGATGTTAGTAGCATCCTGTAAGTCTGGGTTTTTCACATAAGTGAGGGGAACCTGTCGGCATAGTCTAATCCTCAGGAGTTCCCGCTAAGGATGGCACGGTCTAATCAGCAGAGCAGACTGGCCTCACTATGGAAGGTGAACTGGCAAGACTGGAGACAAAGACAGAAGCTAGATTATTACACTGATCTGAACAAGCTACGGGAAGGTTAGCTAAGCTAGGTGGTGGCAGAAGGATAGAGAGGAAGACTTGACTTGATGTTGGACAGGTGCTGGGGAATATGCCAAGTACCGGGAACGATGGGCATGGTATTCACTTTGAAACTGTCCTAAAAACCCACTTGGAGCCAGGTGCAAAAACCCCATAGAAGATTCAAATAAAAGGACCTGACTAGAGGAGAGCAGGATTCCAGAAACTTGAAGATGTGGGAATGTACCATCCTGACAAACTACAATTGAGCGATCTAAACAGTTACTCAAGTTTTCTAGCAAAGCAAGAAAGAAGTATATTCTTTTTACAAGTAAGCAAAACGTAAACCTGAATATCTGAATATCCAGAAGAGACTTTTAGAAGCTTCAGTTTTAGATGTACTAACTCCTAGTCCTCAATTTTCAACGATGACACTAAGACTGTAGATGGGGTGTGCACGGGTGACGCTCTGTCTGACAGTTATTCAGCTGCTTTTCATCTCGTCTTGTCCTTGGCAAAATCAGCCATATCTTTCTATGTGTAGTTAAATTGAACTTGACCCTAAGACTTGGTGATTCTAATTCCCTGTGGCTCAATAATTGGGCCCCATGTGTGGGAGAGGCAGGTTTCACGGGCATCCCACAGCTGCTGCTTATGTGGGTGGATTAAATTAGGACTTCAAGTACACCGCCTGCTTCTGATTTGATCATGGCCATAAAGAGATATTTTCAGTGACATTTCTACATATAAAACCAACAATATGGAAGCAATCAATAACGGCAGCTCTCTCCGTCTCTTCTTACATGCTCACATCATCAACTAAACGCTATTACACCCTGACAAAAGGCCATTATTAAATTCTAGGTATCTATTTCATCTATTTTTAGCATAAATATCTAATTCCTGGCACAATGATAAACCCATTACATATGATTAATTTGCAATATTGAACATTAATCTTGCTCCTACCTTTTCATTAGATCAATCAGGAAATTTTTTATAGAGTTCGTAGTCTGTGTTCAGCAATATAGGACTTGGGAAAAGAGTCTTGAGGGAGATGAGACATCCCCTACCATCAAGAAAAGAGATACAGATAAGTAATCAAATACTTGCCACATATCATCCATCCACTCATTCATTCATTCATTCATTCATTCATTCATTCATTCAGTACGTGTTCTGTTTTGGTGTTAGGAATATGGAAATAAATAATAACACCCCGAAGTTGAATTAGAAATAATCCCTCCCCTTCTCCAAAACTATTTCTCCCCAGTATTACTTTTCATCAGTGCAACATCCCATTAACTTCACGTTTACTGAAAGCAAACATCTGGGTAACTTCCTAGATTGCCAGGCTGCAGTGCAACAGATTATCAAGTGCAATTGGTACCCCCCTTAACATCTCTGGTGTTCACTTCTCTGAGGTGGAAGTCCTACTTTTTAATTTCTTTCTTTCTTTCTTTCTTTTTTTTTGCTATTTACTTATGCATACAGAACTGGGGTACAGGCCAGAGGTGCAAGGGTGGTAAGAGGATTCACCAGAGACAGAGTGGGGAGCAGCACAGGTAGACCTACTAAGTACACTGCTGAGGTCTGCCACGCCATGTGGGTCACCTCCGGGACGGGGATCAAACTCGCACTGAAGCAGCCATAGCCAGCTTCGCAGCACTGTGCTCCAACCCGCTGTGCCACCAGGGAGGGCCCTCTGTTTTAAATTTCTTAAAAATTTTTATTTATGCAGACAAGAGCTGGGTACAGGCCAGAGGCATGGAAGGCGAAAGGACTCACCAGAGAGAGAATGGAGAGCAGAACAGGCAGATCTACTGAAATGCACTGCTGGGGGGAGGCAAGACAGGAGAGGTCTGCTGTGCCATGTGGGTCACACTCCCTAGAGGGGAACTAACTTAGTAGGATTATTTTTTGTGCTACAGTGGCTGTTGGTAGCTTCACAGTGCTGAGACTTAACCCCTTGCGCCACCAGGCAGGCCTCTGTTTTAAATTTGTTGAGGGACTTCCGTGCTGTTCCATGCTGTTCACACAGTTGCACAAATGGTGTACCGTGTTCCCTCTCACACATCCTCGCTAGCTTTTTTCTCATATCTAATCTTCATCTTAATTCTTGACCTTCATTTAAGCATTTAACCCCAACATCTTTTATTGCTATATATCGGTTTTATTATTGTGAACTTAGTAGGATTATTTTTTTAATATCTCTCTTATTGTTTACTTTTGTATTTAGTGTTTTGCTACAAGGCAACAGATCTAATAAAATTCCTTTTTTTTCTAGACTTGTGGGAAGAAGACCTCTTCTCTGACACAGTTAGAACTAGTGCTTGATTTCTGAATTAGAAAAGTTGGTTGAAGTAGTAAATTAGAAAAAGGCTTCTACTGCATTTCACCCCTGGGGCATAGGGACTGTTTGTGTCTTTGAGAACAGTTCTGAAATGAGGGTTTCTCGAGCTTTCCCCACCTAGGGGCACATGCCCCCTCCCTATTAGTGTGGGTCAGTAGCTGGATAATTCAAAGGCAGTCTGAGTGTGTGTTCGTGCTCGAGTTTTACGGTGCTTCCCCCTTCTTAACATTTCACTTTCAATCCAAATAGCTGTTAGTAAAATATTCCATTTTTAATAAAGACAGTTGTCTGCCTTTTAATCCGGATTTTATTTATTTCTGTAGTATTTAAGCAACGGATAATGTAGGCACCAGCATTGACAAGTACAGCCACATGAACAGATTTGGGAACAAACCATCCACTCTTAAAAAGCTCGTTCAACAACTAGTAGGCCAGCAGGGCCCAGGCATTGAGAGACGAGCTTGCCAGATTGAGCCTTCAGCAGGCAGTGGGCACGAGCCAGCACATTTTACAGATGGAAGAAAGTGTGGGTGGATCCATTTTGTTGCCAGGAACAGCCACTCAAGGGGCGTGTTTCTGGGTCATGCCCTCTCTGCTGGGTCAGCTGGCTTTGGTCTCATACCTCGCTTTGTTCATGTGTAGAATGAATATTATATTAGCTCCTGCCTTCATGGAGTTGTGCCATTTGAAAAGACAATACATGAAACATGTGCATGGCACACATTCAAGCATTCAAGCCTTTAAAAAAGAGTAAAAATAGTACAACATAGAAGAGAAATGCTATTATTTAGACCACTTTGCAACTATGTTCTGTCACTGTGTGTTACTATCACTATTGGGTTTGCTGCTGATTATGTGCACATAGATACTACTGTTGTGATTATGTGGTTATAGCTAATACATATTGAACATACTGTATTCCTAGCACCACTTGAGGTTCCTGACATGCAAAACTTGACATGCAAAAGGACTTCCAAACTTGATCAAGTTCACCCAGGTGTTGAGTAGTAGAGCTAGGAGAGAAGTCCTGTCCTTCTGATTCTGGAGTTTCTGTTATTTATTAGCCTGTTTTTTTATGCTATTCCTATTCAACAAGGACATTTTTTGCAAAAAGAGTTTTATTTTATCTTGTAATAATAAATCAAATCCAGTGAGTAGATAGCTTAGAAACAATTTATATTGCCAGTAAGTATCATATATGTGTATTAATTATATGTGTAAGAACTATATGGATGAATTATTATATATATATTCATATATATAGCTCATATATATTCATCTATATATTCATCTATATATATATTCATATATATACACACACACACATATATATACATATATATATATATATATAAATTTTCCTGTTTCAGAACAATCCCCAATCTAGTGGCCATTAAAATATGTTTCTACTTGGCCCTCCCTGGTGGTGCAGTGGGCTAAAGCACAGCACTGAGAATCTAAAGCCGCTTCCGAATGAGTTCGATTCCCGCCTGCCCCAGAGGTGACCACATGGCGTGGCAGACCTCTCCTGACCCGCCTGCTGCTCCCCTCAGCAGTGTACTTCGTCGATCTGCCTGTTCTGTTCCCCACTCTGTCTCTGGTGAAGCCTCTCACCGCCCCTGAGACTCTGGCCTGTACCCCAGTTCTGTATGCACAAATAAATCTTTAAAAAAAAAATGTTTCTACTTTATAATTAGAAGGCATAATGTTTCGCATTACACAAGAATGTTTGATATGGTGTTACTTTCATCAGGAGACCACATTTACTACTCGCTCTTACACCATCAGCTGTAGTAAAAGCAAACGATTCATAAATGTAAGAAGCTGTGAGTATAAGGCATGAACCAAAATAAAAACTCTAGTTATCAGTGCGCTTATTTCTCCTGGGATTGAGATCACTCAGAGGAAGTTCTTTAGCAATGACTCTTGTACTAGCTAACTAACCCTTTATGTGCTGATAGTTCTTATGCTTTATGCCTTCTTATAGATACTTCTAGCCTGGGTTCTAAATCAATATGGAAATTAAACTAGCAATCCAGAATACATTGATTTATGAGGTTGAGTTTCTCCTTTACATTTCATAATATTTTTGAGCATTCATAAATTAAACATAAAATCAATTTAAATTAAAAGTTAAGGGACAGCAGCCCTCAGGTAGATGTTCAATGGTTTATTAGTTCTATGAAATATATATAAGAAATACTAAATTTTATTCTGGTATTATTATTTAATATTTCTTACACACTAACAAGGTATCATCAATTCCTGTTTACTTAAAACCCAGCTGCCTATTTTGTGAATTATGTGCACTACTCAATTCTACAATTAAACATGGGCCATTTATTCTGAACTTTGGCTCTTCAAAAAAGATATTAGAAGAAAAATACTATTGCTGTATTTTGGGAATCTATTAAAAGTCAGGAACAACCCCTCATTGGGGCATTATTAATATCAGGCTTTCAATTCATACATTTGGAAAGTACTGAGTGATGAGAGAATATTAATAAGCTAACATGAGAAAGAAAGACTACAGCAACTATAATTACTTGCATTATATATTTGTTTATTCAATACATATCCATTGTATTTCTGAAGTGTGCATGGCATGAATAAGGTACAAAAAGAAACAGAGATTGGGGGCCCTCCCTGGTGTGCAACAGGTTAAGACACAGCACTGCAAGCTGGCCACAGCCGTTTCAGGGCGAGTTCGACCCCCAGCCCCGGAGGTGACCCACATGTCGTAGCAGACCTCTCCTGATCCGCCTGCTGCTCCCCTCAGCAGTGTACTTCTTCTATCTTCCTGTTCTGCTCCCCACTCTGTCTCTGGTGAATCCTTTCAATGCCCCTGCACCTCTGACTTGTCCCAGGTATGTAAGAATAAAATAAATAAATCTTCTTTTAAAATAAAAAAGTAAAGAAACAGGGATATTTCTGGAATTTGAGCTCTAATGAAAGAGAAAGAAATTAAACAATAAGTTTTTTAGCTAAAATTAAACCAGAATATTTCACAGTTTTTGTTGTGTGGTGATCACTTTTGTAGTCTTCTCTCTGTACTAGCCTGTAGCCTCCTCTAGCTAACGGACGGTGAATGCCGCCATCTCTCCATGAAACTGTGGCCCAGAGAAGATGCACACCATGTCCTTGCCCAACAGTGGCAGTCTGGCTTTAAGATTAGGTGCTGGGTCCCTTGCTTTTGCCTCTGTAATGAGAGAAATGTCATGAAGAAGATGAGCTTGCTGCTTTACCATAGCACATGTGGTGTTTGCTGAAGGAAATACCAAATGGAATGAGATCCAAAGGCCAAGAGGAAATGAATGGAGCTCTATTGTGTGGGAGAAGATATCTCATCTCAGGTAGAAGAACCAGACTGCAGGCGAGCTGAAATGAAAAGAACAAGAAGCATTAGAGGAACCGGGTGAAACCTCCAGTGTAGGTGCTCAGGGGTGTGAATCATTATAGTTAGAGGAAAGTCAGTAAAGTCACTGAGTCTCCCTGCCTCTGATTTCTTTATGCATATACTTATACTTATTAGTTTGTAGACAGCATTGGTTAACAACTCTATATACACAATGGAATAGCACTCAGCTATGCCATTTGTAATGATGTGGATGGCTGAGAGAGGGGATTATGCTAAACAAAGTAAGTCCAAAGGAGAATGACAATCACCGATGGTGTCGCTTATTTGTGGAATATAGAGAAATAAAACAGTGTCAAATAAAGCCAAACTAATAACAAACCCTAGAAATCTGACTGAAAAATTGAAGCTGGCTGAGGGGGAGGGAGAGAACTTAGGGTGAAACAAGTTTAGAGGAGAAGTGTTGGGAGACTTAATACATTTTGAAATATGTCAGAAAAAATCTAAGAACTTCATCAAAAATCCATGGGCATCACCTTGTTAGAACACCATGCATCTGACAGAACAAGGTGAAAAGAAAATGTCTAAACGTTTTATTAGTCACTATCTGATACAGAGTTTTCATCTCTGAACAAGGCTATTACATAATTGCTCTTTGTATATAAGTTTTTATTTTGTCTCTAGGGCTATTTTGTTGTTTATTAAAATCACAAGCCATGTATCATTCGCTTTTGTTTTATTTAGAAAGCCTAATAATAGGAATTATTCTATCACCATTTTCAAGGAAAAAACAAAACAGTGTACCAAGCAAATAAATCAGCCCCGTTAAGTGGATAATAATTTATGGTTTCTGTCCATGAGTCATGGTTTAGCAATTATTTGGCCCTGAAATTTTGGAGATATAGAGAAAAGGAGCAGCTGCTACCTAGTCCAACCGAGGTCATGTGTGTGTGTGCACGTGTGGTGTACATATGAAAGGAGGCCAGTGAGTGAAGACTTGCTGTGGCAGGCAGAGTTATTCTGTGTCTTCCCTATGACTGTGTACAAGGTAAATTTAACTCTCAAGAGTAGGTTATATTGTACAGCCATAAAACAGAGAGATTATCTGGATGAGAGTGGCCTGATTAGATAAAACTCTTCAGAGGCAGAGGTTGCTTAGGCTGGTTGCAAAAAAGGTAGTCACAGATTGAAAAAGAAGGATTCAACAAATTTATATTCTTGAAGAGGAAGGGAGCCTTGAGGAAAGGAGTAAGGGGGAGCTCCTAGGAGTTGGGAGCCATTCCTGACACCATCAGCAAAGCATCAGGCAACCAATGGGCTTAGAAGAGAACACCAAGCCTGGAGGTTAACTGTCCCCGTGGTTGATACCAAATGAAACCTTGAGGAGAGAATCCAGTTCTACCACAGCCAGGCTTCCACTATATAAAAGTGTGAGACACTGAATAGTTGTTATTTTAAACCGTGGTTTTGTGATATTTTGTTACCCTGCAATAGAAAATGAATACAGGTGTCTAAGATCCTGCTGAGTGATACCCCATGGCCTCCTGAGACTCAGGATAAGTCCTTTGTTTCCCCCTAGAGACACAGGTCACCTGAGTCAGTGATATAAGAATGACTTTGCTGAACCTACACCGAGCTATGCAATCAAGGTTTGTTTGCCCCAGGATTAGAAATAGCCAATTTAGGATTTCCTCATCAATAAAATTATATGAAAAATGAGGATTAAAACTGGCTGGACGTTAATTCTAAATAGAGGAAAACTACTTGAGAGTAAATGGACTCTCCTATCAAATTCAAATTACATGACTAAAATCAAAAAAGTAAAAGAAGAAGGAAGACTAATCCGGCCAGAAGGTACTCCTGCACCCCAGGGCTCTGTGGTATTAGCTAGAAACTAAGAATGGATGCCATGACCAAAATGTAAAGTCTAAACAAAAAGTTAAAAGCATTATCACCCTATTATGATTTAGAATAGATTCTTTCCCTTTGCACTGTCTGAAATCACTCTGGAAACACTACTACACATTCAAATTATGAAGCAACACAATACCATGAGCCATTCATCCAGTTGGAGAAGTTTCTTCACTTTATTTTCTTCGTAAAACCAAATTAGAAACGACTTGCTTAAAGGGAAAAGGACTCAGTAAGTATCTGTATCATGGTGTATGTGAGAAGCTCGGTGTCATGTAGCCATTGATTCCCAATATCAATTAGTAACAATTTCCACACATCGGACAGTGTGAAAAATCATGTAATTTCCACCACCGCACTATAACCACCTTGTTTGCTGATGAGGGAAATAGTGGCTTCGTCTTTCCTGTGGTGTGTCATCTCTATTAGGCTTTGTAAACTGCAGCAGTTGAAATCTTTAACCAGCCATTACTAATAAGCATATGTTAATTGTAGCCGAGATCATAAGCAGGTCAATTAGAAGGCAAAGACTGGAACCGAAGGAAACATTCAGCTGGAGGGAAAATCCCGGGCAGGTGTCGCCAGCGTGGTCTGCCCTGGCGGGAGCTCGAAGCATCTTGGGTAGGAGCTCATTTAACGTTTTGATTTGCTGAATTTGCATTTCAAATTTTTGTTCCTAATAGACAATATAGTCAGTCTTTGTTAATGAGGACTCTGATTACATGTGCCATTATAATTGGGAATTAGCAGACCAGCCTTGTTTTGGAGATTAAACCCAAAGCAAATTGGATTAAATACGGTGTGACTGAAACCTCCTCTCTCCCGCTTTTTGTTTTTTTGTCTTGAGTCAAAGGTGAAGGAAAAAAATCCATTTGTTCTAGACATATGGCTCATGACTTTATTATCATTTTTAGCTGTTATTATCATAAACTTTAAAAGGCAGTCTTTTGGGGTAGGACTAATCTAAAGTTTGAAAGCATGTGCTGATTAAATTTCCCTCCATAAAGTGTGCTGATTTCTGAGTAGATCATTAAATATTCAGAAATAATTATAGGGTACACTCACATATAATGGTATTTTTTTTTTATATTTTTATACATTAAGTTTTACCCAAATAGCAACAGTAAGATTGATGTTCTAAAATGAGCTTGCCAAATTCTGTGACCTGTATTTACACAGCATTATTTGAAAGTGTTGTGTTGCAATCAAGTAAGTCTGTGATTTTAAGTGTAAAAATGAAATAAGAAATTTTAATGTTATCAATTCACTAGTATGTATTTACTTCACCATGAGAGTTATAGTGCAAGTGTTATGTTTTATATTGTAGGTCTCCTAACTCTTAAGTGATATAGCTTAGGGTTATGTGGTCTTTCTTTATTCTCTTGGGTCATTTAATATTGTAATCCAGTTACACTCCAACATTTTCATTATTAAGCTTAAAACCAATTCTTCAAAAACTACCACTAATCCCAAGTCATTGGAAAATCATGCTTATTAATTCCCATGAGACTCACTTAGATGTTTGTTTGGCTATAAGCCACTTTAATTACACAACAAAAGAAGATCTTCACCAGTGAAGAGAAATTCAAAATTTCATGGGTGAATATTGGTCTTTGAAGCACACAAATGAGAGTAGACCTGGATCCTAACAACAGTCATAAATTTTCAGGCATGCAAGGTTAATAAGTGGGGAAATGAAGAGAGAGGGACCTTTCACAGGGCTTCCCCCCAATGCACTATGTTGCCAGAGGAAAATAATCTTGCTGAAAGTAGCTATGCAAATAGAAGGCTAAGGTACCAGGTGCATGTCTTTACCCATCCGGAGATCTCTCAACGGGAATAAGTGGCCCAGTTCTTGCAGGAATGTGAACTGAAGTACTGCAGGACCAGGAATCATTTCTTCAGGGAGACTTGATGATTGTTTAAGCATCCAACTTCCTATATGTCGCCGAGGCCAGTGATCATCTGATGAGACTGGAAAGTAAGAGAAGCTGCTGAGATACAGGTTTTTCTAGAAAATAAATGGGCTCCTTGGCTTGTTGCACAAACTCTATTCTGGATGAAAAATGACTTGTTTCAGTTAAACTAATAGAGAATTGCAATTTAAACCATGCATGAGTTTCAATTTTTTACAAAGACAGACTGTAATGTACTCAACACTAATTTATCCCAAGTATAATAATATTATAATTTGAAATTTTATTCTTTGAGTTCCATGAGAACACCACTGCTTGACACATGAAAGAATTAAAAATCTTAATGTTTTGGGATTATCATAACAGTAATAAATAAATCACTGTCAGTGTTGATTATTACTGACTAATAAGTTCCCTTTATCAGAAAACAAAGAGAGAAGGCTCTTCTGAGTTATGTATTTATTTAAACATTATTAACTCTTACATATTTATGCAATCACATCCCAATACTTAGGCTTTAATTAAGTTAACTTATGGTAAGAATAGTAACTTATTAGAATCTCCAAGAGAATATTTTTAAAGATTTGATGACCACAAAAAGGGACAATTTGTTTCTCACATAGCCTCAATAAATTCTCTAAATTTTTCTAAAGCCTTAGTAGTTCTGTGTGATCAGTCTAGTAAATATAGGCTTGACATGTATGAAGATTATTAGTGACTTTTTTATCTTTGATAACTGGAGAATTTTCTTTTTAGAAAGAGTTTCCAGTTTTTGCATGGAAAAACACTGCCCATGCCCCAAAGTAAATTCAAATAACAGAAAGTTAATAGAAACTGTAATACTCAAAATCCTACTTCTTGAGCTACTTCCAAAGTAATTAAAGGCTCTCTAGATGACTTTGATTAACTGTCCATATAACAACTTTCTAAGTAACTCCCTATAACTCTACATTTATAACATTCTAAATAGAATGAATCATAACAGGATATATTTGTCATTCTCTAACTTGCTTTTTTATCCATACTATTTCCTGAAAGCTTTACATGCTAAAAATGAATGTCTGTCCTTCATTTTAAATGACTGTTGCACTAGAAGTGGGCAGTATTATTCAAGCTGTAGATGGTGACCTATTTGTGACTCATGCAGTCAATTTGGTGGAGTTCATCTAGAATTTTGTGAATGCTATACAATAGGCAGGAGGAGAATGGGATGAGAAATAAAAGTATCGCATCTAATTAATGTAAAAGTTTCTCATGAAAATAGTTTCATTGGTGTGTATTTGCTTAGTGTGAACAGGTAGATAATTTTATGCTACATTGTGATTTTTGATGAATGCTGGTTTTTATTTGTGCCTGCAACTTTGGGCCAGGCTTATCAGTTTAACTTGAGGGGGTGTTGTAGGCAGAGTAGTGTAGGTAAGTCACATGGTGCTCTATGTCCACAATAAAAAAAAAAAAAAAACCTGGTCACTAAAGCTGGGTGAACTTCCATGGTTTGAATGTATTGTCACTTATCATTGCTTAGAGGCTATCGACCAGGTGTGTACTGTAATTATCCTCATTCAGCAGATAAGGAAATAAAGACACAGGCCCAATATTCCTGAGTATTTAGTTTCTGGGTTTTATTTATTTATTTTGGTAATACAAATAGTCCTGTGTGTGTGACTTTTTCAGCTGACTGAAACTTTCATTCTTGCCTTATCTTTGCAAATCTGAAGGGCAATTTGTGTTTCATTTCACTTACATTGCCTTGGTTATAATGGGACTCGATATCACGTCTAATGAGTCTTCGTATTTCTGCTTCTGAAAATTACCTACTCAATGTATGTTTTCCATTAGAGCCCACAGCTTTTATAATGATTTACAAAGATTGGTGGATACGATGGAATTGTAAAATATTTTAAAACAAATGCAGCTATAAAGCACTTAGTGTTAACAAAACTTGACCTAAGTCCAATAGCAGTGTTATAAGTCTCTGGACAAGACATAGATCTCAGAGATCTAAGACTTAGACTTACAGATCTTAGAGAATGAAAGTCACACATTTATTTGTATTTAAATTTGTATTTAACACTGAAGCATCAGTTCTTTATCCAGAGTTTAAAAAAATAACTTCATCTTTGTCTAATGAATTACCATGAGGTTGACTGAGAATCTCAGTGTTAAGCATACTTGCTTCCCAAGTGTGGGTCATATTTGATCATTGTTTTTTATGATATAGTTCTATATCATACATAGAAATAAAAAATGAATGAATGAATAATAAGTAGAAGTGAGAGAGAGAGAGTGAGATCTGCTAATAAAAAGTTGGGTATTTGGGGAAGCACAAAAATCTTTTAAGAACCCTAGAGGTCACCAAAATACTAGATAAACAGAGGGTAATAAAGTGTTTTTTAGCATTTTGGAGAGGTGGTTTCTCCTTTAAATAAGAGACATATTACCCTATCAGGGCTCAGCTTTACCTAGTTATAACATCTGAAACACACATGAAATATATTTTCAGATTTATTTTCTCATTGCTTAATGATACTTCTGCAGACATTCAGAGATAATTGGCCAAGGTACTTAACCAATAAAAATATGACTATATGTTTGCACATCTCACAGTGAATAGGAAGCTTTCACTCATGTGATTTTGCTTCTTTTCAAAGGTCCTTTCCATCAGTTCTGTCACCTTCATTTTAAATAATGGTGACTTGGCAGAGGTCACTTGCCCTACCCAGCCTTACACCTGGGTTGTAAATGTTTCAGTTAGCCCCCTTGTTTCATTCACTCATTCATGCAGAAATCTTTTGAGGGGCTACAAAAGGTCAATCACTCTACAGAGTGAGGATGATTAAATAAAAAAAAGTTTGGCCTGCTGTCTTTAAGGAACCCATCATTTAAACGAGGTGCTCCTTGTGAAACTAGATGACTAAACAGCTTCTGTTTGGTACTATACAGCAGCAGCTCAGATGAAGGGATGATTCCAGAAAAGGGGTAGGACAGAGAACACCCTTCAGATTCCAGTGCCCCAGAGGCGCCCCTGTTAGCTCAGGGCAAGCCCAGCATAAGAGACTGACTTTTCTGATGAGGAAGCTGAAGGCAGTTGGTTGCATTCCAGGTCCCTGGCCTGATGCCATTTTGAAAGTGAAGGAAAGATCCTATCACTAAAAAAAAATAGTAACTGCCTAAATACTAAATGCATAGGTAAGATCAAGGCAGTTTTTAAAATTACTGACACGTTAAATAGCTGTTTTTCTGATGGCATTACAAAAAATCACCAACTGTGTGGAATTAGCAGAAAAAGCTTTAAAAGGAAATGAAAAGTACAGAGTACTTCCATAAGTATGCTCTTTGTTTCTTCCTGTGTGTATTATTTCATAAATAAGATAATGTGTACATATAATTCGTGTCCTGTTTTTTTCATGTTGGCATTGTAAATTAGAGGTTTTCATAACATTTAATTCAATTTGCCATAATTTAGTTACTGCCATGGTGTTGAATATATCTCTTGCTTAGATTTTCCTGCTTATAAGTGATCGTGTTGCTAAGATCGTTTCTGTATTTTTTTTCTCATTATTTTGTATTATTTAGTTAAGGTAAAATTTTCCTAAAACAGAACACAAGGGCAGGGTTGCTACGTGGAAGTTTAACTATCTTTAAACATTTTATATATGTTATTAAATTTTTCCTTCATATTCCTATCAGCAAAAGATATACTTATTAAATAACTGTTAATACAATTGGTAAAATTTACCTATATAAAATATTTTGTTTTCCCTTATACACTTTAAAATTGTTTTAATTATATTACTATTTTGAAGATTTTTCTTCTCATTTCTTTTTTCCATAGACTTGTCAGATTCTGAGCATTTTTAAATCAGGTTTTATAACCTCACATATTAGGAATATTAACCCTTTATATGTTTTTCTATTAATATTTTTCTCAGTTTGTTTTCCTTGAAAAAGCATATAGTGTTTTTAAAGTAGTGGCTTTAGAGTTAAATTGTAACATCTATTCATTATTTTTCTATTAGGCTTTTTTTTTCCCATTGAGAAACTCACAAGGGATCTTTAAGTAATAGCACCCTGAACAGCTCCACCTGTCCCATATTAGTTTTGTGGTAACCTGTAGTAATGTATTGTTTCTCACCATGAGAATATACTGGTGAATAGTGAAAATTATATGCTCCAGGTAACAGAGCACATGTGTCTTTAAAGAGGACTGGTATTTTCAATAATTTTAAAGAAATTAGCACACCTAACTTTCCTCATTTCATGTAAGATGTAGAAAATGTTTTAGGCTTTATTCTAAGTCCAAGTTGACTTTTCATTAAGCTCCTTGTAATTGGTGCTTTTAGATTCACTAGAGTAACATCAGTGAGTAGTATATATACACTGTGGACTGTTAATCTTTTCTTTGGATGAACAGCATGGTATGTATTTACTTAACAACATTAAAAGACTTTTCTTAACAAAACTTGTCTTCCCAGCTTAGGAATGACACAAGTCACCAATATTATAAAATTTCCACCCATTTTATCTCACCACTTTGGTTTATGGGAAGAAGCTGTGACAGAAAATACCTTATTGGCTTGTCAGTTTCTGCTTCCTCTGGACACCATTTGGAGTGACAGGTTGGCAGTTTTCAGTGATCAACCCTAAGTAAGCCAGAGCAGAAATGAAGCCAGACTTTTGACAGACTTCAATTGACCTCTGTGATACTAGATGCTGTGAAAGGCCCGTTTCCCAGTCAAACAACAAATGTAGGACACTAATTCATAGAATTCTGGTAAGGAGAATCTGAGCTTCAAATTCATTTGACAATTTCCCTCTTGTACCCTGGCAAACAACATGGAACAAAATTGACTAAAGACACAGAAAACTCTGGGCAAGTTAGGTTAGTAGTAATTTGTACAATGAAAAGGTTGTCTGTTTAAATAATTAATGTCAGTCTAGGGGGAACTCAATTTTGTTCAACATTTTTGTCTTTGACTTGGATAAAAGTATGGAAAGTTTACTCAACAAACTTATAGGGAGCACGATGATTCTGAAAGATATTAACAGGCTAGAGCT